TTGACTACAATGCAGCACATAGTCGAAACACACCAGGCATTCGAACCAAGCCACCGGCTCCAGGGCTAGTCCGGGAACCCCAGCGGATGGGGGTAGCGAGCCAGCTGGGGACGGAGTGACCAAACCCGACCCGGTGACGGTAGACTGGACACCGGCGGCCCTGTGCTCCCCCCCGTCTGCCTTATGGCGGAAGTTTAGAATAGTGAGATTTGCTAAGAAAGGAGGTGTCGATGGGGTATGAACTTCTCTGTACGTGTATTTCACCCACTGAACTATCGTTATTCATCTATGACAATGTAAACTCGGTTTTGCATTCTATGACCCCTTTAATAAAACACCAAAAATTTAAAGATGCATTAAATGCATTTGGGAATACTCCAAAGTCATGTGACTAATTTGAAATATGTATCTTAAACAAAGCATTTGGAAGCAGTCAAAGAGCACAAGGCATTTGAATAATTTAAAAGCTGCCTCTGTTGATTTCTACCTGTATTGCTGTGGACTTCTTACTTAACCGAAAATTATACATGTTGGGAAAACTGTATTTATACAGAAAAAAGAGAAATACAAAGGATTTGCTACAAACCAAGTTGCAGTTGAACTCTCTGTTCATTTGTTTCTAGTTACTTTAGACAAAATAAGAAAATATGTGGGTCATTAGAACAGAATATCAATAATACATCTATGAGCTGCTGATCTCCATACTGTTTGCAGAGCTCATTGGGTGGTGAACATGTTTTTAAAGTCAACGCCAAACAGATAAAATTACAAGATCAAAGAGAGAGAGACGTAACATTTTCCTTCATGAACAAGGAACAGTTTGTAATCAGTGCTGCACCACCTACAGTGACATTTCTTAATCATAAACAATCTATCCATCATCACTCCAATAATATGCAAACTGTATGAGGATAAAACAGAATGAAATTAAAGTAGGAGTATAATCCTTTTCCTGCAACACTTTGAAATGCTAAACATGGAAGTGAGTGTTGAGCAGAGCAGCACATGGAGGTGGCTGAGATGGGTAAGATGTGGAAACAGCTGGCTCTCCACATTCTTAACAACATCTAATAAAACGTTCTGCAAGTGGAGGAGGATCTTGATGTCAGTTATACAGAAATAAAACGGAAACTAACACCTCCTTGTAAACACAGAAATACAAGCATATATACAGTATGCATGTTTGTTTATGTCATCATTTGTCATAAAGCAAATCTTCTCCAGAAGCATTTCTGAGCAAATAATGAAGGAGGTGATGTAGCTGAGATTAAAGCATTCAGGGTAAAGAGTGAGTCATCAGTCTCACCTGAAACTCCTCCCGTAGCGGAGAGGAATTGCTTTGAGAATCCACCCTCAGCATTTCCTTGTAAGTGACTGCGAACTCGTTCACCAAGATGGCCGTCTCTCCGCACAGACAGGCCTCTAAAATGGCATCATGGATAAAGATATACTGCTCCTGAAAAGACAACGGGTCAATCAGTGCATTGCTTTTGAATCCATGTGCATGTGTCATTTCAGAAAGCACATCAGGGTAGCTGTCAAGTAACAGCTGAAAGAAAAAGGAAAGCTGAGAAGTATATGTACAGTGCCTCTTGCAAAAGTAATTTATTTTACACAAGTTTTCATGTGTTGAAGTGAAAATAGGAAAGGGGGTATGTGTTGTTCTCAGCAACTCTAATTGTAGACAGCATTTCTTCAAGGTTTGATCATCATTCTTTTTCTAGCTCAAATTCAACCACATTATTTAGAGAAAATCTGTGAACATATGTAAATCCTCAAACTTTGCCATATAAACTCATTTGGATTGGGGTTGGGACTTTGATGTTGCAATTCTCCGCACATGGTTTAATCTCTATCAATTTATTGTGAAAAGTGCACGAAATTATACATCACAATTATAAATAGGAAACCGGATCTACTTTTAGAATGAGTTGTTCTGTTCTCTTGTGTTCTTTAATGTGTTTCTCTTAATGAATTGAGTCACAAAATTAAAGGATATTTTAGTAATATTTTCCTTTATTGGAAATATAGCTGTATAATACTAATACTGTTCAAAAAATACATAGGGCTGTCAGCTCCAATATGTAGCGGTAGGAATGTTGATGCCTTGTTTAGCCAATTTGCTAATAAAAAAAAAACATTTACATAAATTTCTGAAAACCAATTATAATTTGTTAGTTTAGAATCAGATTGAAACAACTAATAAAACAAACAATAATTTTCTGACAGAATTGTAAAGATTTTTTGTAAAATACTTAATTTAAGCACTAGATTTTTCTACATTGTATCACAAAATACAAAGACTTTGAGGTCAATTCTGTTCTGCTTGTAAATAAGAAAACAATCAAAATGTGTTCAAATAAATGACTTTTTGTTAGTGATATTTAAAACGTGTAGTGGGGTTTGTTTACATCACAAGTATTTATCTCCAGTCTAAAATGCAACTAATTTATTGCAGGATTTTCATTGCATGGGATGGCTATTTCATTTTACCAACCATATCGAAGACAGCTCATAGCCACACATTGCAAAATGAAAGACAATCTATTACATCTAAATCTATTACAGTGACACAAGAACCAGAATTGGATTGTATGATTGTAATATGGCTATACTAATAGAATGGCTTTTATCAGTATATCAATCTGTCCAGGCTGCTGAATATGCAGAGCGGCGTGCATTAAAATAAAAGAAGTGTGACTCAGTCTGTGAGGAGGTTTTCCCTGCTGCACATTTGTTCTGACCTCTGTCTGGATCATGTTGATGCGTCGAGAGCAGAGGGTTTTCACACAGTTGTAGATATCCACCACACCTTCGCACTCGGCCATGTCCAACATGACATCCAGCACGATGTAGCAGCCGGTGCGTCCTGCCCCCGCACTGAAACATAAAGGCCACAGTTCGCTGAAAATTCTCACAGATTAGCTCTTGGGATCTATTTAAAGGTGAGAAAGAGCTCCATAATCTCTGATAGATCCTGCAAATCTGTAAGAAATAATAAAATATTGACTTTTTTAATTACAGTTTAAACAACCTACTTTCTTAGTCATTCACTATCTGAAATAAACAAGCGTTTCCCACTCCTGACTGAGGCATGGAGCAGGGGTGCAAAAAGAGCTGTTATGGAGGCCAAATATATATTCTAGGGAACCACAAATAAGGGTTGTTTCTTCCATCTAATTAAAATAGGGTATATCAAATCAATATATCCCCAAAAACAAATTCTTTAAATTTCCATAGAAAAGGGATGCCTCAATCACTGAAGATGGGAAACCTAAAAACACTTTTCAAGGTTTGAGTGGTTGAATATCAAGGAAAAAATGGCTTTCAGTGTTTTAAATTATGTCTGGATGTTTAGAATAGAATAGAATAGAATAGAATAGAATAGAATAGAATAGAATAGAATAGAATAGAATAGAATAGTCCTAGCCAGTGCATTTCAATATAGTGGGCCAGTATGATCAAGTTTGTTACTGTTATAAATTCAGGCCACTATGCTAATTTTTTATGAGCATGTAAACCCTTTAATAGACATTAATAGAATTCTGTCCAGCAACATTTCAGTACGAATGTTGCTACGCTGAAAATAGTTAAAATTACATTGAAATGTTGCTGATAAGCTGACTTTTAATAAGCTTAACAGCTGGTTTATAAACACATTTACCTCCTTATTCGCATATATACTGTATACATATGATGTTCAGACTCTGTCTCCCTAATTGCTTGAGCCAGCTTTGAAAGCAGAACTTATTGAAAGCAAAATGGCTTGTTTTACAATGAGAACCGACTGATGGTCAGAATGTTTGTTTGTTTTTTCTGCCAAACGTCACTGGTTCAGTCTGAGAGATCACATGTGGAGGGGAGATACTGTATGAACATTGCCTCTGGAGAAAAGGCAGAAAGAAAAAGGGGGAGTCCTAATTAGCAAAGAGACATAGAATAGAGACACTTTCAACTGTAAAAATGTTTGCTGTGTTAGAAGCAAATGATAGCATAGAAGACAGAATAGTATGACAAAGGACACAGTTCAGTGTCCAGTTCAGTTAAGCATTACAGAAATAATACCAATAAAAACGTACTGACAAAACAATTGCATATTCAAAATGATCATTGGATGGAGACTTCTTTCCAATCAGACTATATGATCTGATTGGATTGTCTCTGTGAAGTGCCGTGAGATTATGTTTATGAATTTCTGCTATATAAATAAAGTGAATTGAATTATAAAAACAAATTGAAAAATAAACAGAAGCCTTTTTGTTGTACAAAAACACCTGGAAAAGCTATTCCTATCTGAGCTGATTAAAGTTTTAAAGTAAAAGAGGAATATAAGTGGATAAAATTGGAAGTGGTGCAAATAACAGTGTGTATAAGAAAAAACTATGTCTATCCAATTCAGATATGGAAACTGTGGCAATAAGAATTGGACCTGCAGGGAAAAAGAGAGAAAGAAAACTGGGAGGAAGGATCTTCCGTAGCTCTGATTTGTGCAACCTTGTGGTCCTATTTAATATCCAATTAAATCAAAATGATAAAAAATTGATAAAAGATGCATACTTTGGTACACTATTCAAGTATTATTTTGCATCTGCATCAAGGAGTGGACTAGTCTATATCATTTGAAGTGTGCAGAGGAACAATTTTCAAAGTATGTGCTTTCCAACTAATGCATACCTGTGGGGAAATATTGGGATATTTTGAAGTACCAGAGGCTACTTAACACCTAAATGTTGTTATGCTGTTGGGAAACGTTTGCATTGCATTCCAAAGTTATGTAGGTTATTTGCATGATAAAGTACAATAAATGCCCACATCACTACTGAAGTGACTTTTTGTGCGAAAACAAGTGTATGAAAATACTGATTTACCTCTGTGGGTGTGCTTTGCTTAAAAACAAACACTGTACAGACTGTTTTTTGTTCTTTATCTCATTTTGCTGGTGTATCCTGGACAATGATATGGACTTTTATGATAGTGGAAGATCAATTATTCCAAAGTAACATACTTCAAATGATTCCTATGTAATAAGCTCTATTAAAAGGATGTTATTAATAAATACAGTGGATGCTTGGCTAGGTCTACTCGTGTCCTCAATAAGCCCTGTTTAAATAAAAAAATAGAATTTAAAAGTTTTGGAAACAAGGTCTTTGCGTTAATCTCTGCAATATTTCAGACTGGCTAGGTGGGCCAGTGCAGTCCAGCAGTGCTTTGGGGACTCTGCAGAAGAAGTAGGTGAAAAAAGGTTGTTAGTAAACTATAATCCATCACATACGGCAAGACAGCACATCTCATCTGCTTTCTATGACACTCTGGGGGCCTTCAGCAGCTCTTTAAGCATAGCATAACACTGCTGAAACAACAACACAGGAAAGAATGCTATTTCAGATCCTTATTCTTCAAAAGCAGTCAGGCTCATTAGCAGCAGCAGGGCCTGTTGCTAAAACAGCTTTTTGTGGTTTTATGCAACATCAACTGACTCTTTTTTTTACGACTCTTTTTTAATGCATGTTTTCCTCTCCTTAAATCGGTAGTGATGATTTATCTCAGTATATCAAAACTACAATATGATTTTGTCCAAAGTTTGTTTTGTGCTTTTTATATGAAACTGTAATAAAATAGTATAGCTTTCCAGATGTATACTGATGACAGTTTTATATAAGGTTTGTAAGCACCTTGCTTCTGTTTCGACTCAGCTTTCATAGTATTTATCCGGAGTCTATTCCTGACTGTAAATTCTCACTCTGAGTATAAAAATAATCTTTTTTTTTTTTACATTAATTATTAATTTATTATTTTTACATGTATTATTTTAAAGTTATCAAGTAAGTCTCATAAGCAAAACACCCTGATATCATGGCATGTCAACCTATTAAAAGAATAAAGCAGACAGGAATACCTACAGTATATAGCAATTAGATCTACCATTTAATGATGCGAATATTTCCAAGCACTCTGATTTTTTTTTTCTCCAACTAATTACCCAGCAGACTCTTCATCACAAGCAGCACCCACAACAATCAAGCCACTAAGAATGATAATCAGGCTGCTATTATACCAGACAGGAAGCCTTTTAGATCATATCATTGTCAGGTTCTTAAGAAACAGAATATGATGAAACCCATTTCTAAGTTCTGATACTGTAAGGCTACTCAGGCGCTTGTTGATCACTGTCTTCCACTTATAGTTTTTGTTACATTGAAGCAGTATTCAGTGTAATGTACAGTGTAAAAATTCTGAATGACTAACATCCTGTGAGGGTAACGCGGCCTTTTTTCTTTTTGGGGTCACAGCAAACATGCTCCCTAGATAATGAGTAGTTTATTTTGAAAAAATAAAATAAAATTATTTTCATCTCAACAGCGATATATCATTGAATAAGATGTGTTTGCTTTTTCTTCAAGATTTTTCCATACTTTTTCCCCTTATTACCTTAAAAAATAAATGACTTTTGAACCTAAATATATTACAGGCACAGAGAGCATTAAAAGTCCTTAAAAAAAGGAAATAGCATTCATTGCAGTCCAAGCAGTTCACCCCAATATGCCTCTAACAATAGATAGCACCCAGATGAGGTTGTGTTGTTATTGTATTAAAAACCCGGAAGAAGCTTTCTGCTTAAGTGTTCAATGTAATAGAACCACAATGTTTGTGTATTGTTAGAATAGAATGGAAAATCAAATCATCATTGTCCCATGATGGGGAAATTGTAGTGTTATTGTTAGATTCAAGGATGAACAAATGTAGTAGACAAAACAGTAAAAATATGTTTTTATTACATTACCAAGAATCAGAAGAATGTGAGAAAACTTTTCAACTAAACATCGAGCTTCAACAAACATGCCTGGCTAGTATCCACAGAAAACAAAAGCCATCTAATACTAGTTAGCTCTGATTATGGACTTTATTTAAGGGTATAGAGGATGATCTTTTATTTACGGTTGGGGCTCCTAATTGACAGTCTTTCTGGTGATATGTGCAGTTTCAGCCACATATGTGTGATGAGCTACGGTTTCAGCCAATCATTAAATCTCATCTTTCTCCCTGTGGTTCTTTGAAAATGGCTGAGGGTCATGAGAGAAAAAGTTTCTACGAAGTGTATGAGAAGAAGAGAAAGGCAGATGTATCCCAGAATACTTTGTGCAGAGAGCTCTCCCTTAAAGTACTATGAGATTTACTGTCATGGCGGACCACTGTCACCACAAGCTGTTGCTACCTGATAGGGGTGACCAATAACAAAGATGGCGCAGGCACTTTACTTTACCTGAGTTACGTGAGTTATGTGACAAATAGAGCAAAAAGCACTGATCAAAGCAGTAAAAAATGGCATGCTGCATGCTCTTGCATTCGCATTTTCTTTTGAAGTGGAGAATGCAGGTCTTTTAAGAAATCCTCTCCAATTACTTTAAATGGTTTTAGAAATTTGGATGTAGCTTTAAAAATGTAAAGCTACATCCAAATAAACAATGAGGAATAGAACAAAAAATCACTTTCACATACTAATCACCACATTTCTGTCACATTCTTGTAAAAAAATTTATATCATGTTGTATCTACATTATAGGAACTAGAGGCCGGATGAGGAAATGAGACTCATGAGAGACATGATAGTTGCTGTCGGTAACTGCAGCCACCAGCCAAGCCGCCACAGGAGAAAACAGGAACAACTTTACAGACAGGCAGTAACCACTGCACTGCACTGGTGATGTTGTTTGCATGTTTACTACGTCACTTCTTAGTGGGATTTGAATAGATGTCATTTGTCTGCCGACTATAGAGGAGTCCATTGCTACCCCTGACAATGTTTGAAACAAGCTCTTATTTTTCTTCAAATAAAAACCAAAACAAGCACCACTTCCTGTATCAAAGCTGTGTCAGTGTTCCCATCTGTAGGGCTGAGCGAGAAATTCAGCCTGTGAATTGCGGCGTATTATGCAGCACACAGCCTATTGAAGACAATGGAGAGATACGTGGATGGGCCCATTGGTTTTTAGCGCCATATCAGCCTTTAGCATTAAACAAAATGGACATGCATGTATATTCTTCCCCAAGTTCTATTTTTTTTTAATTATTATTTTGAGACAATAGATGACGGCCATATCAGCATACAGAACTATTATAAGCAAATATCATTTACTTTTATAGAAAAACAACAGTTTCCTTACCCTGCATTTTGCATTTGTCCTCTTCATGTTGATCTACAGTGTACTAATAACAGTCATCTTTACTTTAATCCTTTTACAGATGCATGATGTAACTTCTAACTTGCCGCAGTAGTTGAAAAAGCCATAATTCAGATAAAATAGATAAATAAGAGTAAAAACGTCTGTGATGCATTAAAGCCTCTGCTCATTTCCAGTCTTCTGGGAACAATTTAGTGCAATATATTGTGAAGCCTCCCACCTGGACTGCGTTAGTTTCTTTCTGTCATTCTCAGGGGAATAAAATGATGAAACCTACAACAAATCTAAAATCAAACAAATCATGCTATAAAAATGTATTGTACCTGCAGTGGACCACCACTGGGCCAGCATCAGGGGGCGTAGAGGCTTTTACCCTTCGTATAAAAGCCAGCAATCCAGTGGCATGATAGGGCACGCCATGTTCAGGCCAGGAGGTAAAGTGGAACTGACGGACCTCATGCTTGGTTGAGTATCCTCTCTGTCAACAGGAAGATAGTTGTGTTTATATAGACAGACACCCGAAGATCAGAACCAATGGAAAAGCTGCTACCCCGTTTTCAAATTTTGGAGCGGAAAAAAAACAAAACATGTTTCCACTCCTCTGCTTCTGCTAAAAATGTCTGATTTGTTCCTTCAATCAGAGAAATGCGAGGCAACATCCAGAGGCATGATGACAGAGCTGAAAGTCTTTTACTTGCTTTTGTCTGTCGCTGCATGTCTTAAGAGTTCACAAGAACAAAATGATTTACGTAGAGCCTCTCTCGTTACCTTAAGGCTGTGTGGAGGTTTCTCTGCAGCCATCATACAGTAATTTCATCCTCTGGTCAGATATGATAAATTAAGGCAAATACAAAAAACAAATAAAAAAAACTCAAAGAGGTTTTAAAATGAACTGTTACCAGATTCCAAATTCACCCCAATTTAAATAAGCAGTCATACAGCAAATGTGACTGTGTGGTGATAATCCTGTGTTTGTGCCACTGTCACTCTAGCCTGACTCTGAGCCTTTCCAACACATGATTTCCCTCAGAGATTGACAGGATGGAGGCCATCAGGGGCAAAACACTGTAGCAGCAATGCTAGAAACCTGTTAATTCCTCTCAGATTAAAATATAGACTTCACATTCATCAGCGCAAAGTCCTGTCAAGCATCTAATCCTTTTTATTCATGTTTTACCTTTAATTTTACTTTTCACTATGCTGGGTAACATGAGTACTTTTTATGAGGTATAGCTGCAGTAGAATTCAATAAGGGGACCAGATTTTACTATTTAGAACATGCAAACATGTAAGAAATATGTACAAAAAAAAGATTTAAGAAAGAAAGAAATATAAAACATATGGGAAGCATTAACTAAAGATAAACTTACCCTCTCCAAAGCAAAGGTGCGGACTGTGTATTCGGCCAGAGTTTCTGCCTTAAGTAGAGTGATTTTAATATCCCCATACATCTCGCTGTCATCAGGCCAGTATTTACAGCACTTGACCTTTCAAAAACAGAAACGCATCATTTTAAACTTTGGAGTGTAAAAATAAGATAAGATGAATCCTTTCCTTTAACATAATTTGAATTCCAAAACCATTTGTTCAATTATCTAGAAACATTTCTGCACATGCAGTCCATAATCACTAAAATGCACACTATTTAACTTCATTTATGTTATTTAAGGAGCTGGTTATATGCTATGGCTTAATCCTATGGTGATATGTGCTGGTAGTTTGACCAGAACACAGGCTGACAATTTGTTTCATCACAGCTGTCCTTTAAATGCTGCACCACCTGCTTCTGTACATATGTTTTATCTTGCAGGGCGAAGGGGAAAAAAGCATAATAATGACATAATGGTACGGAGCATTATGAAGAAGAGTGCATCATTTTTCTTTTATCGTCATTCAGCACAATGGAGGCAATTTATTTCTTTATATATATAATGGAGGTGTTATTTGGATTCAGCCACACAGATCGCTTCTCAGTTATTGATTGTTTCCGGAAAGGTAAGGATGGAGAACCAAAGCGCATGAGGGGCTTCTGCTAGAATGGTGTCATTTTAACCATCTGCTCTGGTAATATGATTTTTTTTTTCTTTTCCTCTAACGGAAAAAGATAAGGTACTTGAAGCTAAATTCATGGTGCATGAGAAATGAAACATAATAGTTCTACATCAATATGCCCTGTATATCCAAGGACAGAAGCACTGCAGATGCTGTCACAAACATTTTGTTCTATGCTTTTTTATATATATATATATATATAAAAGCTATGAATTTTCACAAACAATCAAATTGGGTCTATTTTTTTCTAATATTTGAAAATTCATGAAGGCTTTAGACCTGATATTACCTGATATATGTCTACAAGTAAAATATTTTGAAGGACAAATGCCTTTGGCCGGTTCTTATCTATGTTTAGATCCAATTAACAACTTCAAAAGCCTTCTGTAGGAGGAAATGATCAAAGATGAACTTGTTTAAACCCAGAAAAAGGCTGACCCTTTTCTTAAACTTTCAAAGGCAAAACCGAGCAGACAAATTAGAAAGTTTGATCTCATAGGAATAAAATAAATATATATTTTATGTTTGTTTGCTGCACCTAGTATAATAACTCTGTTAGTTTTAGTGGTTCTTCACCGTTTTTCCCTGATAGGCATCCTTCTCTTTAGGACAAATAGGAAATGTTGTGAGCTTGATATTTCTGTGTTTTTTTTTTTTTTACTTTTGGAAAGTAATCACCAGAATTCATTTAATGAGGAAAATAAACAGAAGTTGTTCAAACTGAACAGGCAAAGTAATTTTTTTCCAACATCCTCCGAAAATTGTTCACAATCTGATTTAGCCTAAAAACAGGTTGGATCATTAAAGCTCAAGTATTCTATATTCTGAAAAAAAAAAGGTCCACTCAGTTAATTGTTTGCTACAAATCATTTTAATCAAATCATACAGACCACCTGGTTAAATTTAATCTGTCTGATGAGCATGTGGAGAGATTAGAGATTAAATTGTGTTGCTGACTTTACGGCAACCCCTAACACCATTTCTCATAATTCAAGACTGAATAGGTGTCAGTAAAACCCCCAAAATATTGTCTCTCTTTTTGTTTTACCAGCTATATTGTAGACATAGCTATGGTTATCCAACAAGGTTGCATGGCTATGAACATAAGAAATAACAACATAGGATGTGTAACATATGTGTAGCTTTTGTCACACATGTCTAAGGTTGGACTACCCCTGTAAGCCTACTTTTTCTCATCATAATGGCTTTATCTGGCCTGCTGCTCAGTTTAGTTGTGACACCATCCAGGAGGGAGGCATCAGCTGGGCTGCTACTGTCAACAACATTCATCTTAGATAATAGACTTGGACCTGTTTTTAGATGTTTAGCCATTTTAACCGCCTAGACATGCAAAGAAAACTGAAACTGAATATGTGGAGTATATATTTCTGACCTCTGATATTTACTACCCAGAATTCTTGGATACATCCCAAAAAGGCTTTTCTGGTAGTCTTAGGCCAGAACTCTTCTTTCTGAGGCTCTGAATATGAGCAGTTTGGACTGTACTACAGAAAAAGCAAAAGTCCGATTTTTCCTGTTCTTGTTTCTTTATCTGCGGTGTGTTATAAGACACCTTCTGAAAAGCTGTTTTTTGCTCCTTCTCACAGTCAAAAATCTCAATGAATCTGGATCGTAAATAGACATCAGCAGATGTCCACTTGGAGAATAATTAGCTTGGACCTTAGATCGAACAATGTTTGCAACAATATCTGATGCAAAAAAAGACAATGCTGAACCATTATTCTCTCAGTATTTTGCTGCGAGGCATATATGCAATACTTTCAGACATATTTAAGCTAACTAATTAAAACCTGTGTTGAACTTTATCATATCTAGCTTTTTGGAAAATATCTTCCTTTTCAAGTGAACAGCTTGTTTGAACAATTTGATCTGCTGTTACAGAAAGCTACAGCAGACCATCATTAAATCTAACAGCTTTAAGCCTTCTGCAAGGCAGATGCCCTTCAAAGACATAAATGCTTCATTCATAGACACAAAACAGTTCCCTTTTAATGGTTTCAGTACTTCTGTGAACGCTGACAGAAGGGGGATAAGCATGAATAACATACCCTGCCAACCTCCACCAGCTTAGTGATCATGACGATGCTGAAGCAGTTTTCCTGCCACACCATCCTCCAAAAATCATACAGGGTCTCCTGCTTGGGCCCTAGTTGGAAGAAAGAAGATAAAACATAAAGAGACATGAAACTAGATCCATACAAACCTGCCTTGTGAAATTGAGAATTCTTTCCATTGTGACTGAATATAATTGTAACCCAAGTGACCTTTCTAGAATGACAGGGTGCTGACCTTTCAAAATTTTGCCAAATATATATTTCTCATGCCAATTTTAAACAGGCAGCAGGGAAGGAGGTGACAGGTGACAGAAGTAACAACAAAAATGAAAGACTGGAAGACCACCAGTTACTGTCATCTGAGGAGGAGACATTTAGGAAGTAATGCTGAGCATCAAAACCGGCTAAGAAATATTAAAAAAGACAAAGAAGTGCTCAAATCTTCTGTCTCTCTTGCTAGTTTTATCTGCTTCTCTGAGTCTGCGAGGAAGGGGTTGTTGGTGGAAGATAAGCAGATGAGCAGACCCCTCGACTTCTGAATGGGAGCTGCATAAAACCAACAATCCCCAGGGTTCAGAAACAGTAGAGGGGAGTTTGTAAACACCCTCCCAGCACACAACTCCCATATAGGGGTAGCTACATCTGTTTAGCAAAGGATACACTGAGGATTGGAAAAATCTTACCCCTAAATGTCAAACACAGGGCAGGGATAAATTATTCACAATTATCTAACTTTTTTCATTTTTGACAGGGTAAAAAAACAAAGGCATCTAAGGCAAACTATAGCATAATTGCAAAGTGGAAAAAATCATGAAGTGTAATGAATATTTTTTTTCTAAATAGAATCCTCAGAAGTTTGGAGTGGGAATCTGTACCTATTGTCCCTATGTCCGTAACTTATACAACCTCCTTTTGGGTTCTGCAACTATGCTGCAGATCTACAGACAAAAATCACACACATTGTACTTGCAAAAAAGCCTTAAATTCAGTGAGATTAAATTGAGGGCATCAGTAACTATAATATTTTAGGTCAGGTAATGGATTGCCATTTGGATTTAGTTGCCAGTGTCCAGCTCTGATTTTTGATTGGGTCATTCTAACACAAAAATGATTCAGTAAAAACCTTTTCTGTACATGTTTAGGTTCTGCTGGGAATTCAATCTCCAAACGAAACTTCTTCTGCTGCCTCATAACAAATGTTCTTTTTAGAGTTGTCTAGGTTTCCTGACCCTACTGGAGATAAGTTTTCCCATACCATGATGCTGCCACCACAATTTTTCATAGACAGAAAATTGTGGTCAGGGGTTGTCAATATATTATGTTATATTTTGTTTTGCAAATAGGCCAAACAGTTTGATTGTTCTTTCTGTCCATAGCATCTTTAAGATGTTTCCCCTGAATGCTTTGAGCTGGTGAGATTTCTAAAAACTTTTATACAGCCATTAATGTTAATGATACTATTCCATGAAAGGACAGATTTATGTAGACGCTGATTCTGTAGCTGGCTACAGATCTGATTAATGGTCTCCTTGCCAATCAGGTCAGTTAAGGTCAATGGCCATATATGTTGCTGGATTTGCATGATATGCCAAAATGCAAACCATCTCAGACTGTTTTTCTGAACATAACAGTGAGTTAACTGTACTCCAGTTCTCAATCCAGTAGAGCACTGTTCTACCAGGGATGTGGGGGAATGGAGGATTTACATCATGGATGTGCTGCTGACAAACCTGCAGCGTCTATGTGATGCTATCATGGCAATAAGGATCAAACTCTCTGATGAATGTGTCAAGGATCTTGTTGAATCTAGCCACATAGGATTGGGGCAGTTCTAAAAGCACAAAAATGTCCCAACATGGTACTAGTAAGGTGTACCTAATAAAGTGGCCAGGGAGCTATATTCTTGGTGGTGTTTGTTTATTTGAATAGTACCTGACTATGTCCCTTTATTGTTAAACAAATCTCTAAATTATTCAAAGAGGAACTGGATTCAAAACAATATTAAAGCCCCATCTGCACAGAGATGAGCTTAGATTTAAACCTAAAATGTATTTTGTTGTTTAAGCCATAGATCCAAAGTGAGGTGCATACTTTGGAAGAAAAATAAAAGATCATTTTAGAATTCAGATAAATTCAAAAAATGTAATGACGCCCGTTTCCTGCTTCAGTGTGCACACACAAGCAGCATGTTGATGTAGCTCTCTAGCTCTGTAATTCATATGCACCTCTTTATTACTTTGTGTTACCATATGTACTACAGAGCCTTCATTGGTGCTATGCACACTTGTGTGGAAGCTTTCTTCTGAGCGTTCATAAAGTGTTTGTTTAGGTTTATTTATTTTTTATTTATTTATTGTAAGTCTTTAATTATCAAAATAATATGAAAACCAAAGGTGATTAATTGTGCTGTATTGTATTTAGGGGTATTAAAGAAAAGGGGGTGGTTATAAATCAACAGGTCTTTATATTTTTATTTGCTGAAGGATAATGTTTCCACAATTTTACAATTAACTGGTGACTAGATTTAATGTAGCCTCCAACCTACACACATTTGATAGTAACAAAATGTAAAAAAACTTAAATGGGTATCAACATGTTTTTGCAAAATGCTATAGCTCTACACTGAAGCTAAAAGCCAAGAATTCTACATTATATTTAGTCAAATCATATATTTTTCCTTCACTGGTTTTAGATACGTTGCCACCCCTGTAGTCACAACGAAAACAATTCTTTAGGAGAGCATCTTTAAACTATTAAAAAAACTATTTTCTATTATCTAATCCACACACATTCACCCATAGAAACATCTACTCTAGCCTTGTGGGAATACTCACCCTGAGTGGCGATGAAGTGGTTGGATCGATGGTAGCCCTGAAAAAGAGAAGAGGGATGACATGCTGAGTAAGCCATCTGAGCCTCAGGCACAGCTTTAACAGAGGATGTCCCTGACCGTCTACCGCCTTTTTTTCTCCTCTTCTGCCCCTTACTCCCCTCCACTGAAAATTTCACCCTTCTTCAAAATGTTCATGTTTTAATTTTCTACTATTTCTGCTGAGGAAACCATATCTTTTGCATTCAGTATGAAATGTTTTTGAAGGATAAGTATCTTTAAACAAGTCCTGGGAAATATTTGAATAGAGAAATAACTAAAAAAAAAAAAAACACAACTGAATCACTGTAGCTATTCAAGGAAGATATAAAAACCAGGAGCTTAAGCATTTGAGTTTTAGATGCCCAATTTACAAAAGAATGTCCCTTATAACCGAATCATTAAAGAAAAAAAGAAAAAAAATCAATTTACAACGTCCGAGGTCGAAGAGGTGGACGGGGAGTAGAGAAAGAAGAGATACAGGCTAGTTAATAAAAGAATCTTTGTAGGTACAGACATTTTTCAGTGAATGTTCACTGTGTGCTTTATCCAAGCTGATTAGTTAACCAAGAACAAGAAAATTCAAACTGTATATAAACAAAATTCCTCAAATATTGTAATAGAACAAAACCCACTTCAAACCAAAATTAATAATGATCAGCAAAACAGTCTAAAAAGCTGTATATGAGAAAAGCATCATTTGATTTAGATGAAAGATGTTTTCACACAGTGTACATGGAGTGGATATGAATGAACAATGAATTGTCACCTCTACAGCGTGGAGGTGAACAAATGTGAATTATAAACACTTTCAGGGAGAGAAAACTGTTCAAAGAAACTCCCAGTTTTAAAAAAAAGAAAAGGACAGGTGAGGTTACCTCTGCGATTCTTCAAAAAAGGTCACCTAGAAAACCACTCTGATGCTGTGGTTCACTGTTGATTAAAAGGAGTAGCTGGAAGGATAATTGATGCTGCAATTACACAATATCACGATTCTGCAGTGTGAAGAAGGCAGGTCTAAAATAATCGACATGAACTCCAGCTCGAGCCCACCGGCTCTCATCAAATCAGTCCCATGCAGCCATCCATGCAGATACCGGCTTATATCTTTTTTTGCAGAGGGCATCCTCGTTAAATGTCGAATCCATCTATGTTGCTGATGAATTGTAGCTTGGAATCGCATCTGGCCAGATAAAGGGGAAGGGGGGGGAGGGACATGTTTAAAATGGAGATGGATGTCCGTCGCTGCAAGGCCGCTATCCACAATTCCTCAGGCCCTGGCCAAACTTGATGATCGGGAATACAACCACTCCTCTTCTTCAGACAGTTGCCATAGCAACTAAACTTCCTGATTCTTGGCCACTTTAAAAAAAAGCCACTAACAAAGACAGCAGGGTCCTCTATCCAGAGAGGACACATCTCCTTGTGTTCATTTTAAATCCTTCACTAAAAAAGGGGTTTTCTGTTTTTGATCGAATATGCACCTGAAACGCTCTGACCTTTGAGCACTTGTGGATAGAGGACAGCTGAAAGCGAGCGGAGAGGGGACAGCAGAAATAAAGCAATGGGAGGCAGAAGAATGAGCAGTGAAGTACTTACTTCCCTGTTAATCCGAATCTACAGGGTCCGAGGTCGAGGAGGTGGGATGGGGAGTAGAAAAAGAAGACACACAGGCTAGTTAATGAAAGAAGCTTAGGAGTTACAGAGAAGTGGGAGGTCTGTGAGTATGCAGAGATGTTTGTGCAAGGGCTAAAAGTTATGTTAGTGCAAATAAAATATTAGTTTATGTAAAGTTATATATTATTTATGAATTTTTGTTGTTGTGAAATAAGCATTGTGAATCCTTTCTTTGTTGTTATACTCAAATACCATATGCTGCTAAATACAACACACACATATGTATATATTCATAAATGTGTGTGTGTGTGTGTGTGTGTGTGTTCATCAGCCAAACGGTAACTTTCATTGTCTTGACTTAAATATCAGATATATTATAGAGAGAACACAGTGAGCTGTATATATATATATTTTTTTATTTTTTATTTTTTGCTTTTTCATATAAATAAAAGCACGAAAGAAAGCATGTAGTTATTTCAAAAATGAAAAAAGTTGTTTGCAGCGGTACAATGCCTGGAGTGTAATAACATGGGGAAATCATGTCCACAAACTGCCAGACTTTGTTATTATACTGTAGGTGAGGGAGAATTCCTGTTGTGAAATCTTTCGGGAACTGAGCTGTTACAGGAGAGTTGTTTTAAAAGTAAACATGACAGAGAGCAGAGCGACTCCTAGCAGACTGGAGTGAAGGTTTAAAGGTTTTATAGATAGATAGGTAAACTTTCTCTTTCACTTTTTCAAAACTTTGGCAAGGAAGCAATACAACTTCATGACTGCCTTGAGGGGACATTGACACGTGGAAGCTGTAACTTGTGATAGAATAGATTAATGCTTTGTTGACAGAATTTTTTGTCTATATCTTAATCAATGTCATTACCTGGAAATTACACCAGTATTAAATATTGATTATTAAAGAACTATTTGAAGAAACGCATTAACCATTTACAATGATCAATATTGGAGATGTTATTCTCTTCATTTAGTCTCTGCATGTAGAATAGTTCATGTGTGTGCACCAATTAGTATCTATTGCATACTTGCCAGTTTGGCAGGATTCTGAATTCATAAGAAGTCTTCCTAAAATTAAGAATATTATAGACAACCTATAGATTACCCTCTTCAAATAACTGTTAACAACAACAGAGTGTCTTCAGTCTAAGGCTTTTCCAGATCTGAAGCTAGACAGACTGCTAGATGCTATCTTTCCCATCCTTTCTTAAAGCCAGAGTATCAACATCTACTATAACTCATTTAGAAAAAAATAATTTAAATTACTATAATATTGAATTTCCCTTAGGGATCATTAAAGTATATTTGCATTGAGTTGCAATGAATGTTCCCAGCCTGTTTGTTACTGGTGCATTTTCATGCAGTCTGACTGTGAATAAGTTGGACTGCAAATATCTTTGAATTTATAAATAAATTAACATTGAATAAAAGTTAAAATAGTAACACCGTTGAAAAATGTCAGCACTTAATGCTTAACACAGCTTTTTTTATTTAGGAGTTACTGCTATAGGACAGCAGGAAACAGGACTAGCACCGCTCAACCTTGTGCTATATCATATCAATTTTACCATATTAATGTTGCAATTTAATAAAACTGGAAAATGGAAATGCACTTATTTTAACAAAGTAAACCTCAAAAGACAGAGATAATGAGTTTATAATTAGGCATCATCCTTATGCTCAGATATAAAAATAGTATTAACTGAGGATTTGATCAATGGTTGTGAATGAATATCTATTTGACTTTAGTTTTAGGAACATCACGTTATCCTGTCTATCCTCACAATAATAATTAGAAGTACTTGTTGCTACTGACATATCTCAGAGGTATGGGCACCACGCTTTCTCTTCAGGTTCTGAAATTTGTGGCCCCAGTTTCATTCTATTTTTACATTTAAATGTTTCAAATGAACCTGGCCCTATGTAGGTATTTTACTTCACTGTGGATCAATTTACTCTTCTCTTCAATGCAGACTCTGATGGTATTGTGCATTGACTGTTTGGGTCCTAAAACACCCACTTCATCATACTTAAGTGTGAACCTTTACTAGGCTACTGAACTAATGGATGGAAATCCCCTACATGAGCAAAATTTAAGGTTCCATTAGTTAGAGCAAGATGTCCATGTTTTGTGGCCCACATAGCTGTGTTCCCGAGGTGCCTACCATGAAATCAACCCCTGGAGGAGACTAGTATTAGGGATCCCAAGCTGAAAAAGTCCTACCAAGTCTCATTGGATTATGGGGCCCCTGAGGCATAATTGGTACTGTAAGGCACCAATTATGTTACCAAGGTGGAGATGTTCAGAGAGACCATGGAGAAAGACTATAGATGAAGATTAAAGACATTCTGGTAAACTATCCTGCTCCTCCAGAAAGGGAAGCACTGGTTGGCTAACATTGCAGTCAAAGTTGGAAGCTGCTGAACTTGACAGAGGACACTGATGGATAGATGACTTCACACCTTCCCTGGTGGAAGTAAAAACTGGACGCTCGAAGTTGAACTTGGTCATCCAGGCCCAAGTCACCAGGTTGGTCAAAAACCTCAGGTCCCTGTATAATGTTCAGCTGTTGTGGTTGAAACAAAGCCTAAACATTATATTCCAGTTGGGGAAATAGCTTCCAGACTGGGGTGGTAGTTCTCCTTCATAAGAAGGGGGGCATGAGGGTGTGTTCCTACTAAAGGGAAATCACGCTTCTCAGCCTCCCTAGAAAGGTCTTTGCCAGGGTGCTGGAGATGAGAAGTCTACTGTTTGTAGAAGGTCGGTTTCTTGAAACGTGGGGTTTTCCCTACTAGTCCAGGTGTGCTTTTTGGTCCTGGCAAAGTCATATGACCACATCCCTTTCGATGCCCTTTGGGGGGACACTTATGGAGTGCAGAGTCCTTGGTCCTTTACCAGTGGACATCCTGTTTCTTTATAAGCTATGCAGAAGTCTGGCCCATGTTACCACCTGGAAGAACCATTTCTGGTGCATGTCAGACTCCGGCAGGGCTGCCCCCTGTGACCTGTCCAGTTCATAATTGTTGGTTAATAGGAACTGACTTGGTCATCACAGCAATTAGTGATAGTCTTATGATTACATGCTTTTCTGATATACCAAATAAGCACACAGTCTTCAATGGCTTTAGAACTGTTTCCCTGACATTCCACATCGTGATGGTCCTAGGGACACTGGTTTATCCACCTCCGCAAGCAACAAGCAGCTATCAGCACAACCTGCCGTTTGCCTATTACCGTAGAATTGAACTTGAAGATGCCATCAATCACCTGCTTCAATTAGACAAGGCAGTCTGCATAGTGAGGTTCTTTGATTTCTCCAGTGCATTTAACACAATTCAGCCGGAATTATTTCATGGAAAACTCCAGAAAACTAAGGTGGAGGCATCAACAAATGCCTCGATAAAAGACTACCTGACAAATGGATGGTTAGTGAGAATGAGGAATCAGGTCTACACAGGTAGTCGGTGGCACAGGAGCACCAAAAGGGACACTCTCACCATTCCTTTTTACTCTGACTACCAGTACCAGACTGTCATCTCCAGGAGTACAAGAAGCAGTACAGAGAACTAGCAGACTGCTTTGTGGCATGGTGTGAAAACAATAATCTGAAATTAATGTGAAGGAGATGATTGTAGATTTAAAAGAAACAGGTTGAATCCTGTTAACATCATCAAAAAAAAAGTGGAGGTGGTGGAGTATAACGACCTTGGACAACAAACCTGACTGGAGACAAAACTGTGGAGTTATCTACTAAAAGAGGGCAGGCAGACTGTAATTATTATGGCAGTTTAGGTCTTTCTGTTGTGGAGAGTCACTTCCTCTATCCCCTGCTGGGGTAACAGCATCAGAGCAAATGACTTAAAAAGCTCAACAAGCTAATAAGGAAAAATGGCTCTGTTCCAAGACCTCCTCTAGAACATCTGGATATTATTTCACAAAAAACTATTCTTCATAAAATGTGTAAGATTGTGGACAACAGTGTGGATCCATGTTTAGAAGATTGTTAAACAACCAAAGACTGTCTTCAGTTAAAGGCTGCTCCATCTGGTTCAGGGAGACCAATAAACAAGATCCAACTTTAAACCCATGAAAGGTTTTCATATAAATTTTAAGTACTTAGGTTTCCTCATTCAGTCGCATCATTACAGAAAAAACAAACGAGTTGTATGTGAAACCATTGAGCAGTTATCCAAAGTTATTGTTTGTTTTAAATAACTCAAAGAAAACCTTTAACACCTAAATAAGTTTTAAACATGTACTATAGCTGGATGTATCCCAACAACAGTCCACACATCTGTCATATTATGACAACAAAAATCTGTTGACAATCCAAGAGCTTAATAGTTTATTTTTATTTGTACTTTGGAAATATAAAGTCGGACAAATTTTCCCAATAAGCACAACTCGTTTTAACAAAGATCTGAAAAGCTTCGGCACAGGGGTTTAAGGTGGGCATGAGCTGGGTACCTGCTTCATAGGATAACTTCAAAACTACTACATCGCGTTTTACAGTTTGACATCATGCTGTTATGTAAAACTGTAAAACTTATTTTTTTTTATAAATAAAATCTAATCGGAAAGAGTGCAACAGAAGAACACAAGCACCACTAGAGAAAGAGTGTTGTCCGCAGTGCAGGATGTGTTTTCAAACAGTGACAGCCAGTGGAGATGATGCATAGATCTACAGTATAGGTGCATCACTCATCACTATTTGCTAAGCAAATGAACAAGCTACCTTTGCCTTCAGGCATTAGCGAAACAAATGCTAACAACTTTTTACTGAGACAGCTTTGTGATTATGCTGGTCACAACTTGTCTCTCAGAGTGTTCAAGTTTTTGAAGTGTATATTTGATTAGTTTAAAGAGAAAGTATCAAATTACTCGGTAGCAATGTATTCTGTGTGTACTTCTTGATCATTTTAATTTCTATTGCTTCTTAGTGCATGTATCATAAATAGATATACATATAATTATTTGTATATAATTTTTTTCTAAGTTGAACACAACTGCGGAATCTACAACACAATTAAAAGTTCCAACATGAAATGTCATTCAATAAAGAAGATTTCTGTTTTGTGCAGTATACCCTGATTTATTTCAGCTATTTAAGAAATGAAAAGCAATCATCCTATCACATATAAAGTTTTTTTTATCAGTAGTGCTCACTTGTGTTAGGTGCCAGAAGTCATAAGTGAGAACCTGCAGGAAAGTGAGATTTTAGCAGACACATGTGATCTAAAAACAGATCCCACCAAATATTAAAGTTGACTCTGACTATAGAAGTTATTTTACAAGGTTAATTTGAAATGTAGGTCAAATTAACATTTCTGTCTTAATTTGCTTTTAGAACAGCGACAGATCTGGCAACAACAGGCCACCCATATCAAAAGCTGAAAACCAGCTCACAGCTCAGCAAGCAGTTCATTTTCTTCCCCTTTCATTTTTAATGAAGATATGTCAACATAGCACATTTTAGCACTGTAATAATAATGTTGGGAAGCCTTGATATTTTTTCTTAAATTTATCATATTGTCCTTATCATATTTTATTTATTATTTTTTTTTTAACCGAGCCATACCTAATTAAGGGTAATGATGCAGTGGAATAAGAGTGGGCAAACATTGATAATTGGAAGCTACCATGGTTCCTGTAAAATGTTGCTGCAGTTGAAACTTGCCTAAAGAAAACGTTGCAAACTTAAAAGTAAGGAAACAAAGAGCTTTTACTTTCCTCACACTGTTCAAAGCACAAATGTGTTTCAAAGGAAAGAAAAACTTTCCAATTTGACCTCTGCTAAAATAATAACAAGGTATCTAAAGTATGTTCCTCTGTGGCTGAGGAGATACAATACAGTGAGCAGGGGTCAGGGCAACCGGAGAGTAACATCTCTGACACTGAGACTGTAAAGGCTGCAGAGTGGTGTTTTTCCACTAATGCCTGCACCTCTGCACCCTAGACACTAATGGAGACCCTTACAATAGCTACAGCCCGAAAGCAGCCAGGTTTTTAGCACCCTCTCATTGTGACAGCCGCTCTAAAAGCACGTCACCGCTGACCTTTCTCCACAATGAAATAAAAGAGAGGAAATACACTTTAACTCCAGTGTCAAGCAGTCTGATGATAAAACTTGGTCAAAAAAAGGAGGATTCCAAAAATGAAGCCATCCAATACCAAGATGCAGCTGGACATTTTACCTTTAATTAAAGGTAAAGGAGTGGTAGGTATTTTTTTTTTTTTTTTTATATATCAAGTACAACTATTGTTTACAGAGCTGGTGTCCTCTAGCCCCTTATCATCTGCACACAGAAGTGGGAATGCAACAGTCTCAAGATCTCTCCGAGTGTCATATTTACTTTGCAGAATTCCCCAAGAGACGCGTGCAAAATAATCTTGGGAGATGGAGAAATCAAATCAGATTTCTGGGCTTCCCTCGACACAACTCAAATAAATGGCAACAACTGTGGACTATAATAGATATTTCACTCTGGGAAGCAAACCGCAGGTTTCTCTTTGCAGCAGAATATCTATATTTTCTGCCTCCCTGATGAACCGTTCCACAGATGACCGAAGAGCACTTTAAGATGCACCTTGGGCTTTTATGAACAAAAACACAAATGAATGAAACACATCAGCAACACATGTATTTGTTTTTACACCATGAGCAGTTAGTATATTACTGCAGTGCTGCATGTACGACAGTTAAACGGATCATCTCCAACTGCCTCATACAGAGATTGAATAACATCAGTGGCGTCTATTTAATTTGGGGGGATTTAAACTGTGGGGTCTTACAGAGAGGCTCATCTCCTCTGCAGGAATTAAATGCATTTTTTTCCACTCTGTATTAATAAAAACGATAGCAGAGTTGGCCGGGGTCAGGGATCTGCAGCAGCACCTGACAATGATGGCATCTGGCTCAACCCTGCGGGGGCCGATGTTTGATTGGATGGATGCTCTAAGGTGGAAGCCGAGCAGCAGTATGGTGAGCTTATGAGAGAGAGATGGGCCATGGTTTTGCAGTATGTGGAAAAGAGCTTGAGATTGGGGAGTTTTAAATTTTGAACGGGAATAGACTTACGTCAATGTAGTTAGCGTTGATATAGTCTGAGTTTAGATCTCCCAGCAGAGGGTGGAGCTTTACTCGGTGACGATCATCTGAGATGAAAAAGCAGAGAGAAAACATTTAAAAACAAAGGTGTCACAGAACTTGTTTTCCCAATTAAATGCTTTCAATGACATACATCCCAGCAAGGTGTCGTGCCTCCCTTTAGTTTTGTCCTTCTTTTTAGTGCAGTCCCAGCCATCGAAAAAGCTCTGTAAATATGAAAATGAAATAGATTTAGCATACAGAAAAATATTTTCATAATAGAGGAGAATAAATTCCACATGGAAAATGATTCAAACACCTTGATATCCTCTAGATCAGGCATGCCCAAAGTCGCTCCTCGAGGGCCACTGTCCTGCAGGTTTTAGCGGTTTCCCTCTCCACCACAACTGTTTTTCATTGATAGCTGATTAACAGGCTTTTTCTAAACTGCATTCATCACAAAAGGCTGTTGCACTACAATTAGTTTGCCAATCGCCATAAAATACCACAAGAAGAAGAAGAAGAAGAATCAGGTGTGCTAAGACAGGGAAACCTGCAGGACAGGGAACTCGAGGAGTGACTTTGGGCATTTGCTCTAGATTTTGTACAATTTGAATATCAAAATTAAAGGATTTTTGATTGGTGTTTTTTCATCCCTGACCACACGAGGTAGAACACATTGTGCAGCAGAACAAAAATGATAGATTGTTTGCAAAATGATTTAGAAAACAAAAAAGTTTCATGAATTAGCACTGAGGATCTACTAAAGTCAATCGGAACCACTTGCCCTCAGAATATACCAACTTACCTACAAACAGATATACAGCTACTCCAAGTGGTTGAATGTTTACTAACATAGGTTACCATTGTGTTTGGTCTACTCTGGCTCGCTACTCTGGTTTCGATAAGTCAATTAAACAATTAGAATAATGTCTTTGGTGTCCAATTTGAAGAGTAAATCTGCCCAGGCACAAGGAGGCAATCATCAGCTATAGTTGGCCTTTCCAAAACATCATGACAGGACATGTGACAACAGAAAAAAAATAGGAATAAATAAATTACTAAAATACAAATAAGACAAGTCCAAAAATATCATTATCAAATATCAAAATAAAATATAAATGTGCAAACTTATCTCAGAATCAGTCCCTATTTGAAAATAGTTTTTTCTTTGGACAGAGGAATTTATTTGAAATATGAAAACATTAGGATATCAAATAACTGTAAATAAAAAATAAACACCATGGCAGATGATCTGTAATTCAGGGTCAGATTCTAACAGAGAAAAAAAAAACATCCAGCAAAACCTTTTTGACCTTTTAGCTAACCAACTGTAAGCAACATTTTTAGCACTAACCCTTTGATAATCCCCTAGGTGTTGGTTAATAGCAATTTTTTTAAAGTTCATCCACAGGGTGGGGGCAGTTCTGTTTTTTCATGGTTTCAGTGATAATATTTGGGGTTTTTTGTGTTTTAGTAGATGCTGCTGTTTCACAAATTCTAAAAGCATGGTAATCTTTTTGCAGTGAATTTATTCAAACCATTCTCTTTGCTTCTCAATCGATTCATGATAAAGATTATGCTAAATAGAGCATAATAGTTTTCCTGTTAGGTTTCAGTTCTTGGGCCACAAAAACAACAGATGCAAAATCACCAAGGAGAATAAGAAAAAAAGCATTTCTTTTTTCCATTCTTCATTTAAATAATAGTACTGTACTTGAACAACAGCTAAGCTCAGCTAAGTTGTGCAATATAGATGTATCATAATCATGCAACTTAAGTTAAAAAGAAAACCACATCACTCATTAGATATATGGTGTTTTCTTTTTTTTCTTAATACAGCTGCACAGCGTGTAATTCACTTTTCATTTTCTTCTGCAAAACAACATATCACCAGCCCTATTCATACTAAATTTAGCACAATCGTTTTAACAGCAAAAGGGAACAGCATTAGGGACATGCCAGGTAATTTACTCTGGCTATAAACATGCATATCTAAATACATAAAGAAAGGCTATCTTGCATTCAAGGTGCTTAGTTTGAAGGGATGCTCCCACAGTTGGCACCAGTAGAAACCTTAATGAATGCGTTGTTAGGGCAACAGATCTGTTTCAAACTGAGATTTTAGGTATTTTGTGTCAAGCAACAAACAAATTCATCCCTGGATTTTCTGACAATGGTTATAAGAAATGTACTCAAAACTACCCAAAAAGAAACAGTCAATGTTTCAGGAAATAAACCTGAGACATACAAAAAGAAAAAATATGATATAAGTAGGCTTTAAAATTATGAAACAAAATCTGACTTGTGAGACCTATATGAAGGAATGAAGACTTCCACATATTATTATGTATCTATAAGAGACTACTCCCAATAGTTTCTGCAACTATGGAGAAATTTGGTACAAATTCTGCACAAGTCTGAATGGGTAGCAGGGGATTACAACACATTTCTCCTCACAGAAAGCCAAGAAGCATCTAAATCCTGCCTGGGATTACATCCTCCCCCTCACTTTTTCCCTCCTCTTTCATGCGCTGCCTCTATAGATGTTACTTTCTGAATCTCAGAAATTTTGTTCCCTCCCTTTTACTTCTTGGCTTCCTTCCATGTCCACCTCTTCCTTCTTGGCATGCTTTTACTTTTGACAGAACATCTCTAAGCCCTGTTTTTGTCTCTTCCCACCTCACTGACACTAAGTTCCCAAGCGAGATGACAGAGATTATTGGGGACTGCAGGGAAATGACAGTTCTTTGAAAGAAAGCAAACGAGAAGCAGAGAAGAGCTGATTGCATTAATTCACTGCATACATCTTAGAGGTGAAACGGTTGCAATCACCCAAAAATCGAATTACATAACTTTGTAGAGCGTAATGATATATTTTAGTTTAAACATTTTTGTTGCGTCTTTCACTTATTGTTTCACCCCAAAATGTCACATATTCAAGTTAAAGTAGGAACAAAAACATATCACCAGCTGTTCTTTTTTATAACAAATCAGCAGAGTTCCCAGCAGTTACTGATATAACTGCTCTGTGGGTTAGTTTTAAATGACTCTATCAGTTCTCCAAGCCAAAAGTGTTATATTGGGACATGTGAGTTCTACTCAGCTGTTGTTTGGTTGAGGCTCCGAAGGGAATATGAAAGCAGTTGTCACACAAGCAATCCCATTTACTAGCAGACAGTAAAATCTTGATCAGAGTTTTTACAGAAAGCAGGTATTCCCCAGGGAAATAAAAACCTATGCCTGCAGTGTGAGTCTAATATAATAGTCCTCATGATTTTCCTTCATAATATCGAGACACAATCCATCAAAACACACACTCTTAGCGCAGAGAGGGTAAAAAATACAAAAGAGGTGTGTATTGATTTTTAGAGTGGAGTGTGTTTTGGCCGTGAGGGACCATTTAATGAGTCTACAAGCAGAGTTCCAGAGGGGGACACCATGTATTGGAGACAAAAGGTGTTTTCTGGTGCCTATGAATGCCACAGGCTGTGGGTGACAGAGATGGACTCCTCCCCAGGGAGCTAGCTAAACTCTCAGCCACAAATAGCTTCAAGGATCTGGGTCCTTCATTGTGTTGGTTGAATAATAAGGCTTGACGCTATGGCAGCAGCGTTGGGGCTGAAAAAGCTTTGTTCAATGAACTTTTCTGTGCTGATGGGTCGATGAAGGATAAAACACCCATGACGCACAGGGTCCAAAAAGCCTTCCAAGAAATCTTAAAGTTTTTATACAAACAAACTTAGTGAAACAGCCAGAGGGTATACAGTGCTGTAGGTTTTGAATTGGGATGATCCAGCAAATTTTCAAAGGTACTAAAAAAGTTGTTTGTAACGGGCAAGTATTATCGTTAATTAAAAAAACAAATACAAGAAGTTAAATTAACCTCAGAACAGTAGACCTAAGCAGACCCCGAATCGCCTGCATATAAAATAGCATGCAGCCCTTTTTGCTCTAGAGGTTGGATGTGTCTGGGATGATTGTAGATTATCCATTATCCTCACAACGGCACTTTCAAAAATAAGATGAGAAAAGCACTGATTAATTAGCCAACACATAATAAGCAGGTGAGTGAAATAATCAATGCCCCATTTGAAATGGAGTGTTCTGAAAAAGAAGTGCCTCACAACTTTCACCTAAAGCAGAGGTTTAGTGTGTAGTTCTTTGTGTACATGCAGCTGGTGTGTAACAGGTCTTGAAGTTATACAAACTATGGTTGTCACGATACTAAACTTTTCAACTCGATACCGATACTAAGGAAAATATTCGATACTCGATACCATTTTCGTTACCACAAGAATAAAAACTCAAAATTTCAACAGAAATATTTTGATTAATAATTAAAATACAATAAATAAATACAATAAAAATAAGAACAATATTTTGAGGTTGTATGCTGTGCACAGTATTAAGCAAGCTTGATAAAAAACGTACAAAATTAAAATTAAGTTTTCCTTCCTTTACTATGCTTTGCACACATAACAATGACACTAGCCAAATCGGTTAAGAAACAAAAATAATTCTCAGCAGCTGCACCTGTCACAAAAAAAAAGTCTGAAACTGAAAAGTGCAAAGAATTATTCAATCACACAGTGTTCAGAAAGTGCATTTTCCTCTATTCTGCACTTTAGATGAATGACTGTTTAGGTGCCACTGGGAGTAGCACTGTATCGATACTTTAGAAAATGAGAATTGTATCCGGATACAACGGTTCAGTATCTATACTTTTTTGAGTGTCGATACTTTTCACAACTGTAATACAAACTCCCAATTTGCAACAATATTACTTCCTCTTAAAAGAAAATGCTGTCTATCATTGGAAAGATTAGTTTCTCTAGCTTCATACGGTGCTGGATATGACGGGTTTGACTAAGAAGATGGGTGTCTTCTGTACTTTTTTTTTCACCGAGTCAGCCATGTCTAAAGGACCTGTACTGTAAGTGTGCTTGCTTATGTTTAGATTGCTCTGAAGCCACAACTATTGGCAACTTGTTTAGAGGCATTAACGCCTTCTAATGGGCGTAGATTAAGGGTAAATAAATGTGAGCATATTTGACCTATTATAGGGATGGCTGGGTAGAAAAAAAATACATTTTTTAATCAAATAATTTTTTTTTAAATCTTTTCTTATGCCCTGTATTTATTGACTGCCCCTGAAAAAAAAAGGCAATAAGAAATTTTCTGGACTGAAAGCATGCTACCATGGCGACACTAACAGGGTGTGATC